CAATGTCATCAAAAACATCGAATACAACAAACTAGTATATCAGTATGTAAGGTAAAAGGAGATCACAAAAGTAAATACCTTCCTTGTAAAATCCTATTGGTGCTTGGACTAACGTTGAAAAAATCCTTTGCAGTCCGAGACTATGAGTCTGAGCTAATCAGTGCAGACTAGATTAGGAAATTCTCACTTACAATAATATTTAATATAATTTTTTTGTATTTTAAAGTAAAAATAAAACTAATGAAGCTTAAAAGTCACCAGATATTGGTGGTACTTTGAATCGCCTATTTTGAGTTAACTACATTTTCAAAAACGCATTAAGTGTTTAAAACGTAATAAATCTTACCACAAATGGACAGAAAAGTGCAAGATCTTTACCTGAAACAAAAAAAATCTGTGTTAATTATATGTAGTAATACAATAATTTATTTACTAATCATGTTTATAGAATTCATGCTTTATATGTGCATATTGTGCATACATATTGTTCTGACCCTTCACACATATTTTTATTTTTTCTTATTATTTTTATTCTACATTTAATTCTTTAATTAACGTGTGTGTATGTCTTATATACGTAAAATAATACGGTCCTGTACGAACCGCCCCAATCATACTGAAAAAAGGCACTCAGTATTAGCATAAGAGCTGCGCGAAAGACACTTCCGTTTGTGTAAATATCTACCCCCTACGCCACATACGCAGCGCAACCAGTCCAGAGATCCTACATGGCTCAGTGCACTTAAAGAAGAAGATCATTGTAGACCGTAATTTGATTTGCATAGACACAAAATATTAAAATTAATTGATAGATGTTACATTTAACTTATTTCGATATAAAAATATTACCAGTACCCATAAATAAATTAAAATAAGAGCAATCAAACAGAGCAAATGGAGAAAAGAACCAGACCCAGACGACATATACATAGAAGTTCTAACAATGTTGAGTGAAGACGATATAGACGCCTTGGTAGATCTTTTTAACGACATTTATGGGTCCGGTCAAATACCACAGGATTGGCTTTAATCAACCTTTATACCAATCCGAAAAAAGCCAAACGGTAATAGCTGCGACCAATTCCAAATGATCAGCTTATTGAACCACGTCCTAAAACTCTTCTTAAAGATAATTCACACAAGAATATACAAAAGATGTGAAAGAGACATTAGTCCCATACAGTTCGGTTTCAGACAAGGATTCGGCACAAGAGAAGCACTTTATAGCTTAACTGTCTTACTTCAAATGCAGAGATCATCAAAAAGATGTCTTTCTATGCTTTATAGATTACCAGAAAGCGTTCGATTGTGTTAATTATTCAGAATTAGTAAGATTGCTCCAGGAACGTTCGATAGATGCGAACGACCATATAATCATAAAGAACCTTTATATGAATCAAGTGGCATCTGCCAGAGTAGGACTGGAATCTACACCATATTTCTGAATCGAAAAAGGTGTACGACAGGGTTGTGTTCTGTCACTCCTCCTTTTTAATCTTTACTCTGAAACGATTTTCGATAGAGACTTAAGTGACACTGAAGACGGAATCAAAATCAACGGACATACTATTAGTAATCTCCGCTATGCTGATGATACAGTCATAATAGCTGATAGCCAAGAAGCGCTACAACGACTAATAGATAAAATAAACACTGAAGGAGAACCACTGGGCTTGAAGATTAATAAAGACAAGACGAAGGTAATGGTGGTTAGTAGAACACGAAATATGCAATTAAATATATGAGTAAACAATAAGAACATCCAAAAGGTCCCCAAGTTCAGATATCTCGGTAGTTGGATAACTAAAGATTTAGATCCAGACAGAGAGATACGTAGCAGGATTGAGAAAGCTAGAACAGCATTTACTAACATGAGAACCTTGCTAAGCAATAGCAGCCTTAACTTAACACTTCGATATCGCTTTGTAAAATGCTATATTTACTCCATACTGCTATATGGTCTAGAAACCTGGACCATAAAGGCCAATGAGATGAACCGATTGGAGATCTTTGAAATGTGGGTATTTAAAGACTACTTAAAATTTCATGGACAGACGACAGACGTATTTAGAAGACTACTTAAAATTCACACAACAAATGTCGAAGTATTAAATCGAATGGGCAGTGCACGAGAATTGCTGCCAATAATAAAAAGAAAAACTGCTTATCTGGGTCATATCATAAGACTTACTCACAATCAGTTTAATTTAACTATCTAGACGACCAGTTTCGCTTTCTACAATATGCAAAGCATCTTCATTTCTCGATACAAAGTTAATTGAATGATGCCGGTACTCTATTAATTAATGGTTGAAAGAACATGGTTCAAATGGTTAATAGAGTACCGGCATCATTTAATTACCTTTGTATCGAGACCTGAAGATGCTTTGCATATTGTAGAAAGCGAAACCGGTCGTCTAGATAGTTAAATTAAACTGATTGTGAGTAAGTCTTAATTATTATTTCTTTTACCTAATAAATAAATATTTGGATAACTGCTAATTTTTAAAATTATTAAATACAATTTGTTACAAACAATTTATTTTCAGTTTAGGACTCTGCCTGTGGCTTGTGAGCGCGAGTATTGGATGGACTTATGGGCCCGGTTAGCAACCTACCTATTGTAAAACAAAACAAGGCTTAAAGAAGGAATCAGACGGATCCCACGAGGACAAATCACGCAAGGACAAGGAAAACGACAAGGAAACATAAGCCTATAATCGGATAAGCAATATGGAACACCAATTCTTTCAACTACAAAGACAAGGAGATAGTAGAATAATTGATTAATAAAAACCTATATGTTTTTACAATCGACAAATTAAAAAGAAAGGTAAAGGCCAAAGACTATAAGCAATATATTCTAGCATATAGCGATATAAAGAAAGAAGAATGAGCTAAGCAGGTGTATCAATAAAAAAATTAAAGCAAAATAAATAGTTGCCGTTATATATCAGACGAATAATACATTCTTCTTCTTCAAGTTCCACTCTTATCGGAGATTGGAAATCATTCTGGCAATTATAATTTTATTGGTTACTCGCCTGAATAGTTCAATTGAACTGCATCCAAACCACTCACGGAGATTGCGTAGCCACGAGATTTTACGTCTTCCTACGCTTCTTCTACCTTTGATTTTACCCTGCATTATATTCCTTAGTAGTTCGTACTTTTCACCTCTCATGATGTGCCCCAAGTATTTCAATTTCCTGATCTTTATGGAATTTAAAACTTCGCATTGTTTTCCTAGTTGTTCGAACTTGTTGCGATCCATCCATGATATTTTCAAAATGCGTCGGTAACACCACATTTCGAATGCTTCTAGGTTTTTTTAATACATTAGAAGATCACAATGCACCAACAAAAATTCCAAATGATCACCACATAGTCTAAGAAGTCTTAGAAGACCCATGAAGAAATCAAGTGATACTTTAAAGTTTAAAACATTGCAGGAGGCTAAGATCGAAGAAGAATCAGGTTTTAGGAGCCCGTATACAAGCAGGAAGAAGAAGGTTAGTGACCTAAGTACATATTTTTATATTATCTCGGGAACCGCTCACTAGCAAGATTGGACAGTACCCCTAAATTGATCCATTAGTTAATGGATTCGTTTGATACATATTTTGAACTGTAGTGACGACTATGTCTATTTTTCTATAAGTATAATATTCTTCTTCTTCTTCACGTGCCATCTCCGCTACGAAGGTTGGCTATCATCATGGCAATTTTGACCCTGGAGGCTGCCGCTCGGAACAATTGTATGGAAGTGCAAGCAAACCACTCCCTTAGGTTTCTCAACCATGACATTCTTCTCCTACCTATGCTGCGCCTACCTTCAATCTTTCCTTGCATAATTAGTTGTAACAGTTGATATTTATTCCCACGTGTAATATGTCCCAGGTACTGTAGTTTCCTCATTGTAACACTCAATACGACCTCCTTTTGTTTGTTCATCCTGTCTAATACAACTTGGTTAGTTATCTTATCCTTCCAGGAGATTTTTAACATTCTTCGGTACGCCCACATCTCAAATGCCTCCAGCTTACCCATACATTGCTTATTTAGTGTCCACGCCTCCACCCCATATAACAGGACCGAGAAAACATAACATTTAAGCATTCGTATTTTCAGCTTTAGGCTTAGGTTACGGCTACACAACATTTGTTTCATATTGTTAAATGCACTACGGGCTTTCTCTATTCTTATTCTTATTTCTCTGGTGTATTCGTTTGACTCGTTAATATTTGTTCCGAAGTAATTGTAATTTTGTACTCGTTCAATGAGATTCTGTCCTACATGTAAGTTGATATTATTGATACGTTTCTTTGTAATTATCATGAATTTGGTCTTCTTTGTATTCAGTGACAGACCAAATTCTTCACTTGCTTCAAGTATAATATAAAATATTGCTATTTTTGAGACAATAATTGCAATAATAGGTTTTATCTTTTGTAATTCTCGTTTAGCATTTATAGAACGGATGAATTAAGAACTTAATTTTGTATTGATGATTCACAACAGACGAATTAATTTGTATCCAACATAGACATAAAGGTCACGACCAATCAATAGATAAAATTTCACTTTTTATATTTGGCAAAGGACAAGTTTTCTATGACACCCACTCATCAGATGCGCATTCAGTGGTAATGCTATATCCTCAAAAGGAAGGTGATAATTTAAAAAAAAACTGCAGGACGACATGCGATAGACGGTTTTTTTGTTAAGATTTGGTAGAAATAAACATTGTTTGCTATTATTTTGTGTTTTTATAAAATAGAAGTTCTATAATTAATATAGTAAAAATGTTCATAATATCAAGAATAAAATATACAGAAGTGTCTAAACTAAAGAGTTTTTCAATAGACACCGACCTATGAGAGTTGATAGCAGCCATATTGTTGAAACTACACCTATTAAATTGGCTGTAATTATTTAGTCTCCTTTGCTAAATCAGCTTAAATAATGTCATTACTCACTTGCAACATTTTATCTTATCATCAAATTATCAACAAAACTTGAGTTTTCCTAATATCACTGTCTAAAGATGGTTTGTTTATCTTAAATTCTTTGCATTTTTCGTTAAACAATTCTTTTTTCTCTTCTAGAGAAGCAATCAACAACTGGTCTCTAGACTGGACGCCTGCGCCTGATGTTAATTCAAACTGCAGAGATGTATAATGTTTGATAAGCTGCTCCTTCTGTTCATCATCCAAGTCTACAAATTTCTGATCATCAGTTCCTTCTTTATCTTTCGCAGTAAACATTGAATAGTCTTCAACTCCACCATCACTATGTCCATATTCCAGCATCTCTCTCTTCAATCCTGACCCCCCCAGGGGGAGTGTAGTGGTCGACGTGATGTCGTGTATTGTCCGTCTCCAGAGATCTCTGTCTCTGGTCATTTCTTTTAATTCATGCATAGGTCTTTGGCATATTCCTGTAATTTGATCTCTCCATCTTGTTGGGGATCTTCCTTGTGATCTTCGGCCTTCTACCTTTCCTTGTATTATGAGTCTTTCCATGTTTTCTGTGTTTGCTCTCATAACATGCCCAAAATATTTTAATTGTTGGAGATGGACTTTACTAGAGAGTCGTTGGCTAACTTTTAGCTCTCTTAAAATTGAATTATTTGTTCTGAGGTCGGTCCAAGGAATTCGTAACATTCGTCTCAAACAGAAAATTTCAGTGGCGTCTATCTTTCTTCTCTCCGATTGTCTCAGAGTCCAAGATTCACATCCGTAGGTCAGTATTGGGAATATTAAGCAGTTGATCAACCTCATCTTTATCGGTCTTGAAATTTGACAGTCCTTCCATATTTTGGTCATTTTAGCTGTGGCAACTTTTGCTAGATCAGATCTACGTTTAATCTCTTCTTGTAATGACCCTGTGTTTGTGATTAATGATCCCAGATATAAGTATGAGCTCACAACCTCGAACCGGTCAATTGTGGTTATGTGTGGATGATTGTTGTGTAGTCTATCCACTATCATGATCTTTGTCTTTGATATGTTTAATTGCAGACCAAATACTTTCGTTTTCAATCAGTCGTATAAGTTTTATCAGCTCTGCTTGACTATTTGCAAGAAGGGCTGTGTCATCTGCGAAACGTAGGTTGTTTAGTTTATGACCATTTATTGAGATGCTCTTTTCCCATCCTTCAAATGCTCTTCGCATAATATACTCCCCATATATGTTGAATAATTGTGGAGATACTATACATCCTTGTCTGACACCCCGTTCTGGATGAAATTCGTTCGAAAGTTTGTCAAGTACTTTAACTGATCCAGTACTGTGTTCATATAGTTCGGTTATAAGCGTAATTAGATGTTGTGATACGGCTACTTCTTTTAGTATTCGCCATAAGTGTCTCCACTTGACCCTGTCGAACGCTTTACGGTAATCTATAAAACAGATGTATAGTGGAATGTTGAATTCCCTAGATTTCTCGATTATCTGTCTTATATTCAGCAGGTGTTCTCGAGTGCCTCTACCTTTGGTAAATCCAATTTGCTCTTGTGGAATTTCTCTTTGAAGGAATGTTTTCAGTCTCTTATTGATTATATGTAGCATTATCTTGCTGGCATGGGATATAAGAGAGATAGTTCTATAATTGTCGCATTTATGGAAGCTGCCTTTTTTATGTATGGTCGTTATTGTAGATTTTGTCCAGTCTTTAGACCATTGTTTGGAATGCCATATTTGGTTCCAGCATATTAGACTGTATTTGCGATAAAGTTGAAGTTGGGGCCGAATTTTACTGCTTATAATATCGCCGAGGTCTATAAACCTCAGACAGTAGCTTCATATTTTTAAGTAAATTCGCGTTTTCACGAAAACTCATCTGCACTGTGAAACTTTTTATTAAACTGCTCGATTGCACAAGCTCTTACAAATGCAGCAACTTCTTCACGACATTCCAAAGATCTCTTCACTAACCACTGTATTACAGGAAATATGTGAATAAAATCCAAGCCTTGGATTTGATGTGGTTGGGATGTGGAAACAGGAGTGGAACAAACACATTAGTAAAATGGTAGAGTATAGGATAGTACAAATAGTACAAGTCACCAAATGGATGAAGAAGTATTGGCAGACCAAGAAAAAGATGGTGCGGCAATTTAAACAATTTTAAAATACACTCTACAAATAATAACTTTATTTACTTCATAGACTTTTAAACAATAGTACAATTTATACGTAAATTTGGTTCCAAATCCCATAGTGGGCGTTTACTCCTTGAGTGTTAAATAAATATTAACTATGACTTGTTTTGAATGTGTTATCATTTGTAATTAATTTTTTTTCCTGACTTAGTCAGTTGGCTTATATCTACCGTAGGACTCTATTGCCTTTTTTCCAGCATGGATGTGTATGTTCTCTTATAGTGAAAATTTAATATATTCAATATGTAATCCAAAGGTTATAAGATCTTGCACATTTTTTAATTAAACGGTCAATATTTTACCTTCTTCTTCTTCTTCACGTGCCATCTCCGCTACGAAGGTTGGCTATCATCATGGCAATTTTGACCCTGGAGGCTGCCGCTCGGAACAATTGTATGGAAGTGCAAGCAAACCACTCCCTGAGGTTTCTCAACCATGACATTCTTCTCCTACCTATGCTGCGCCTACCTTCAATCTTTCCTTGCATAATTAGTTGTAACAGTTGATATTTATTCCCACGTGTAATATCCCAGATATTGTAGTTTCCTCATTTTAACACTCAATACGACCTCCTTCTGTTTATTCATCCTGTCTAATACAACTTGGTTAGTTATCTTATCCTTCCAGGAGATTTTTATCATTCTTCGGTACGCCCACATCTCAAATGCCTCCAGCTCTTGCGCTTGCTGGAGGCATTTGAGAATATTTTACCCCTTTGTATTAATTATTTTACCGTAGAAATACTTAGTGTTAGGTTTTCACTGATGATGGTCTGATAAGAGGAGAAGCATGAGGCGCATGAGGAGCTTATTTCACAAAATCAACTTGCAATGGTTAACCATGTGATGGGTACTCCTGTAAGGAAACGAAGGGAGAATTTGCCTAAACATTCAGTTAAAATTTTAAAAAGATGGTTGTATGACCATCGTTACAATGCTTATCCAACTGATGGTGAAAAATTGACTCATTCACAAGAAGCCAATCTTACTGTTTTGTAGATAAGTTTTATCATATTGCTTATTTAGAAGGAATAACTTTAAATGGTACATTGTTCTTTTATTTACCATTTATCTATTGTAGTGTGTTAAATTCATAATCCAACACAACTTGTTAGATTTTGTATATAAGTAATACGACTTAAAAATAATTCTGATAACTTCCAGTAATTATTCGTTTTTTCGATTCTGTGTTTTTGCATAATTTATTAATTGTTCAATACAATAAAATCTGTTTCACAATCTACTACTTTGATTGTGAACGTGATTAGTTTGTTTTTAGTTGAAGATATACATTTCCTGTAGAGTTCTTTTTTGTTCAAATCTTCAAAATTATTATTTGTTTTTTTAAGGAACCACTTACTCTCTCTCTCTCTCTCGCTTTCTCTCTCTCTCTCTCTCTCCTCTCTCTCTCTCTCTCTCTATATATATATATATATATATATATATATATATATATATATATATATATATTGATTATATAAGAAAATTGCATACATTATATGATTTTTAATTTCAAACTTAAATTTCGCATTTTAAATAATAAACCTGTTAGTATGTATTTTAAAATATTTAAGATGTTTTTAATAGTTCAAATTTATTTTTATTGCTGGTTTGCAAGTGGTTTATCAATGCAAGGAGAAGGATATTGTCAGAGATGATTAGAAGAGAAGGGGATGATCCAAACCAGTATACAATATCTAGAAGAGGAAGAAATTGAGTAGTGTAAATGGAATTCGGGAGCAGCCACCAGTAAATTTGCATGGAGATGTACAATCTATCACAAGACAGTATGACATTGATGTATCGTTCTGAAGAAGATAGTCCTAATGAATATGAGAGTTCTTGTTTACCTAAGCTCGCTGCTGACCAAAGACAACAATGTCAGCGAAACAATTAAAAGAAGAATAGTGCTTGCAAATAAGTGCTATTATGGCTTGAGGAAACAGATGGCCCCAAAACTCCCAGAAAAATTAAAGTTATTATATATAAAACACTAATAAGGCCAGTGTTAACATACGGGTCAGAAACGAGGTCACTTACACAGAACGACCAAGAATTTCTTAAACGTTTCTAGAGAAAAATTCTAAGGAAAATATATAATGGAGAAGTCCAAGAACAGGGTTTGTGGCGCAGGTGCTACAACTTTGAGTTATACAGAAGTTTTGGGGAACCTGATGTTGTAAAATGTATTAAATTAACACGTCTTCGATGGATAGGACATGTAATTAGGCGAGATGAAGATGTAACGATCAGAAAAATTTTCGACTGAAGAGAACCAGTAAGAAGACGATCCAGAGAAAGGCCAAAACTTAGGTCTCAAGATAATATAGAAGATGATCTAATATCCATCGGAGTTAAAGCATTGAGAAGAGTTGTCAGAGACAGGAGGCGAATGGAAGATTGTTCTGAAGAAGGCGTTGGCTGATAACAAGCTATAATGCCACTGATGATGCTGAACTTTCTGGTTCAAAACTGATCAAAATTAAAAACTAACGGCACATATTGAGCGTTTATGAATATCGGAATATACATCACAATTAAAATTTATAAACTTGTCATTGTATGATCAAAAATAGTCTTAGATTAAGCAGCTGCAGTTCGAGCCAACAATTAGTTTTTTTGCCTAAGAGGTAGTAACATATAAAGACAGTTTGTATTTTACTACTTTGTTTCAACTTTGTTTTAAATCACGCTGATGCGCCTTGAGATACGTTGTAAGGATATGTATAAACACTTCTACACATGCAATTAAATTACATGTAACGTACTGCAGGGCCGTTCTGGAATATTTGTAATCTTTTCAAAATATTAAAACATCTACAATATTGCGCTTATTTGGAGATACATAACACAAAACACAAACAAAAATAATTTCCCTATACTAAAATCAGAAATACAATATGAAAAAAAAAATTTGGGAAATTTTCAGATAATGTTTATACAGAAATTATAATACTTATTGAAAATGAAAATGTTTGCTCAAATATTCAACAACATATATAAGACAGGAAAATTCCTAAGAAGTGGATAACATCAGCTTTTACTCCACTACTGAAAACTAAAAATGCCAAAGACATGGGCCCAGAGCAATTTAGTTTTAGA